TATATACACTTCGGAGTGCTATGCTACGTGAGTTACAACAAGGAATTCTAATGCTACACGTAAGCTAAGTGGGTAACACCCGTACAAGTGATAAGAATGAAAAATAAATAAATAGATAAATAAATGTTAAAAGAAGAGAAACCCTAGCGATCCTATGGCCGCCGAGCAAAAGGCAAGTCCTGGAGATGATATTTGCAGGGATGGATTTAAGGGGGGGCGGGGGCGACCGCCCCCCTTAGACTTTCAATTTTTTTTACTATATATGTAATCTTTTCTTAAAATTTTCATACTTTGATTAGATATATATGTTTTCTCCCCCTTTATATTTTAGTTTTCAAAATTAATATATAAGCTTACAGACAAATCATCATGTCAGGCCGGCCTGACCGGGAGAGCCGTCCGGCCGAGCCCTTTTGGAGACCTTCCCGGTGGAATTTTTTGATGAATTTTTTTGAGCATGTTCCTCATCAAGTCTAGTTTGTTCATACCAAAGTTCGGCTCAAAATTCGATCGGGAAAGCATTCAAATCGTTTTTTGAAGTTGGCTGCGTTTTATATGTATATTTTGACACAGTCAACTTCAAAAAAAGATTGAATGCCTTCCCGATCGAATTTTGAGCTGAAATTTGGTATGGACAAACTAGACTTGATGAGGAACATGCTCAAAAAATTTCATCAAAACATTCAACCGGGAAGGTGCCCAAACGGGCTTGGCCGGACGGAGGTTCCCGTCAGGCCGGCGTGACAAGAAGAGTTCTCTAAGCTTACATAATGTATTACTTAATTGGAGATTTAAAAGAGCAAAATCTAAAATAATTTACATAATTTAAACAAATAAACAAGGGACCAATATACAATAGAACAACTCATTGTTTAAGACTTAGTATACCTATTACGGAGTATATGAGAATTCTTAGTTTTGTATTGTTTAATTATCTATATTACATAATTAGTACTTGATTTTGTAAAATATCAACGATAATAAATATCAGACACAATTGTTAAACAATTTTTAGATCATGTAAAGTAAATCCAAAATATAAATGTTTGTTGACACTAAATCACACAATCAATTTACTTCTTACTTTGTAAAAACAATTTGTTGCATAGATATAAACTTTAACTTATTTTAGCAGTAATACAAACATAGTATGCCTGGTGTATATATGAATTAACTAACAATACTACGTATCATATGATTCTCAAATTAATAATCTCATACATAATATTGTAATATTAAGAAAACTTCTCGTGATCCACGAATACCCTCCTTTAATTCGTAGGCAAAAATTACAATTCAAAAACTGATTCTTTATTATGATAAGATTCATGTAGTTAAACAAATCAGAAGTTATTTAAAAAGCATCGGTTTATGTGAACCTTTTAAATTCCCTACCTTCAAATAATTTGATAAAATGTTATATCCTTTCTTTTTTTTCAAATAATTTTCTAGAGCTCTTACACTTATTAAATCAAAGTTATTTTTCTATTGTCTGAAATTACAATGTAATATAATAGATTTAAATTTCATTGTGTATTTTTTCATAGAATATTTTGAAAAAAAATTAACCGCAGAGTCCTAGACCAGCGAAAAATTTTGCCCCACAAAACTAGAGAAAATATTTCGCCCTGCTACACTAGCGTAAAAGTTTTCACCCCCTACACTAATGAAAAAAAATTCGCCCCCCTTGACTCGAAATCCTGGATCCGTCCTTGGATATTTGCTTGATGTAGCTTAAAGAAAGGCACGACAGGTACAGATTCAACTCATTTGGGGAGTGATCGAGCACTGCTAAGAACGGAAGGCAAGGTCTTTTGTCACTGTAGCTTCGTTTTGTGATCGGGTTCTCCAATTTGCCAAATTCGACTGACAATTGAACCTGCACGTGTGATCGGGTTCTCCGACTTTACATTTGGAACCAGACCTTCAAATTTATTAGATGGCTCTGCACGTCAGCCCTAACAATTGAAGTATATTTCGAGACCAAAGGAATATATTTTATTATATTTTGTATATGATAGACAACTCTGGTACCTTTTTAAAATATGGGGTACCGTACCTATCATTCATTTGATTGGACCACATCACTTTATCATTTTTAATTTAGATTTAAATAATTCAACTGCTACATTCTCATTGGTCCATGTGGACAAAGGTATGGTACCTTATGGATACCATAGAATTTACCAAAAAATATGAAGAAAAACTAAGTTACAAGTTAAAGGAGATATAAAAAACGGCCCTTGTGGGTTCATTGTGAAGGCAAAAAAGAGACTGATAGTGGAGTATGTAATTGCGATTTGCTTGGGAACAAACTAACACTGGTCCAGGTACCGAATTGGTGCCGTTTAAAATGTGGTGTGTCTTCATAAATAAGAAAGAATGGCACACATGTGACTCCTACACTTTAACATTCCAAAAAAATGACTAAAATGGGATTAGACTGAAAAGTGATTAAAAACAATTCGCCCAGCAGTACTTCAGCCCTCTGTCTTCACGAATCAGGATCGTCTTCTCCGCTCCAGAGCTCCGATGCGGGAATACAGACCCACAGCCGCAACCGCCGTGAGAGAGAGCCACTGACGTCGATTTCGTCGCTCACACCGCTGCTGCACCTCTCCTCACCGTCGCCGCCACTCTTCTTTTCGTCTGCAACCCGATGGAATGAGAGCTACCCCAGCCTACCTCGCCGCACAGGACGCCGCCTAGCCTCACCTCGTTGCACAGCCGCCTCTCTGCATCGCCTTGCCTTGCCACTTCTCCTTTCACCTCACCTGTTAGATCTGGAGGAGGGCGGCGGCTGGGGTTCATTTGCGGGTGGTCGGGGCTGGGTTGGGCAACTTGGGTTGTCAAAGGTGGGGCTGGGAGGGGAGATTAGCGACAACGATTGAGTGGCTAGAGGGCTGGATCTGAACTGCGTTGGTGGGGGGCTCAAGCTGGGGAGGGATAGGGGTGATGCAAGGTTGGTCGTGGGTGATCCAGATCGAACAGCTAGGGTTCGGGTTCGTTGGGGGTACTGTGATGGCTTGGGCCAGGGGAAGCAAGGTATGGAGGGGGCTGAGGAGGGAGCGAGCGACATCAGTGGTAAGTGAGGCGGACAGATGGCGGTGGCCGGAAAGTAGCGGCGGTGGCCGGAGTTGGGGGGCAGTCACTGTGGCACAGGCAGTCACTGTGATCGGTCGACGGTCATTCACTGTGACCGTGGGCAGACAATCACTTTGGTCGGTAGGGCAGTCACTGTGGTCGGTGAGGCAGTCACTGGACGGGCGGATGTTGGTCATTGGACGGGCGGACATTAGTGACTGGACAGGCGGAAGTTGGTCACTGAACTGGAGGAACTTGGTCACTGAACGGGCGGATGTTTGTCATTCGACGGATAGACGTTGGTCACTGAACGGTAGTAACTGAGACGATGTCAATGGAGCCATAATACTAATTGAGACGGTGATCACTGGAGCGGTAGTAACTGAGATGATGTCACTTGAGCTATGATATTAACTGCGATGGTGGTTATTGGACCGTTAGTAACTAAGACGATGTCATTGGAGCGATAATTGTAACCGAGACGGTTGTCACTGGAGTGGTAGTAACTGAGATGATGTCACTTGAGCTATAATATTAACTGGGACGGCGGTCACTGGAGCGTTAGTAACTGAGACGATGTCACTGGAGCGATAATTGTAACTGAGATGGTTGTCACTAGAGCGATAGAAACTGAGACGATGATCACTAAAACGATGGTAATTGGGAGTTTGGGACTGTTTTCACACAAATTGTAGTGTAATAATTTTTTTTTATTTAAGACTATGTACAGGCCTATCTTGAGAAAAAAATTAAAATCGAAAGAAGCATTAAAAAGAATTTTTCAATACAAAAGTATTAAATAATCTTTAAATCAAAAGAAGCATTAATGATTATGGTGGACAAAATTTTTGGAGAGTACAGTGGCCATTCTTGGAAAATTTACGATGTGTATCTTGACGTACTACAAATCTAGAATACGGAGTACTACTCAATGTCGATGTCGTTATCGAGCTATGCGGACCGAGTGTTCAACAAGCAAAAGGGCAATTTAGAGAAGTGTGTTTTTATTAGTCATACTTTTGGAAATTAAGATAAAAGGTAGGCCTGAGACCGGTTCGGTTCCTAGGTGAAATATGTGGAACCGTTTGAAAATATGAAATTTTACTAACGGTTTGGTTCTTATAAATTATTTTGTAGAACCGATAAGGAATCGAACCGTTCTTAACGGTTCGGTTCTTGTCATTTAATGGTTCCTAGTATTTAAAAAAAATCTTACAAATCACGGTTAAATTTGTGTCAAAAATACATTCAACGCTTGAAATTACAATACAAATATGTTGAATTTCATTTCAAACCTCAAAAGTTGAGTTTAAAAGATAAATACATAACAAACTGCAAATTTTAGAACACAAAAACAAAACAAGATATTCGGTAAAGAAGCCCAATAAAACCAGTTAAATGAAAAATAATTTCAAATAGTTAAATAACTAAACTACAATAGTGAATGCAATATGAAAATAGATAAGTAAATATACATTAAAATACATATACTAATAAGAAATATATATAATTTTAATTATTATATATAACGGTTCTTTAACGGTTCCACGTACATATTTTTTACAGGAACCGAGAAACGAACCATTAATAAAAAGTAGGTACCGAACCATTAACAAATAACTAATAAATTTTGGAACCGAACCGAACCGGGTCATAATGGTTCGGTCCGGTTCGGTTCTCCGGTTCTTGGTTCCAAAGTCCCAGCCCTAATAAAAGGTCTCTTTTTGTCCCTGGCTTATTGTTTAGTAATATTAGAGACAAAACCCCCATAAATAAACTAAAATTTTCCAGGAACTTTGACACCAATATTACTAAAAAGATAAAGTGGACAAAAAGTGATCTTTTTTATACTTTCCAAAACTATGACTAATAAACATTTAGTTCTCCATACTACACTTCAAACGTACGTGCGCACTAAGATAGGTAGAGAGACGAGAGGGAATGAAAGGGCATGAGCGAGGGGCGCCATTTTTCAGGCGTAGGTTTTGTAGTTTTTGTTCGGGCTCAACTGCCGCAAGGTGGAGCGTCGCTGGGGCAGAACAAGAGAGAGATCGTCGATGGAATTACAGGAGAGTCCGTGATTTCGTTGCTGGGACGACAGAGCTTCCGACTGGGAATGGCCGATCTGGCTGTAACCGGCCGTTTTACGGTCAGGAGGTGAACCGCCGGATAGATGATGATTGGAGGAGATGGAATCCTCGCAGAGATATTGGAGCTTCCTCGAGAAGATCGACAAATGAAGAGCAAAGGCGATTTGATATTCTTCAGGCAATGGAAGGAAGGCCATGGAATGGACAATCCCGATTTCAAGCAACGAAGGGAATCAGTGAGCTTCAGGCAACGGAGGTCAGGCCATTTGTTTAAATTGAAAGTAAAACCTTTTGCTTTGACTTGGTAAACTCCGAATTACGCATTAGCCAAAACAAAAACAATCAAAGTTGTTGTATTCTTTTGGGTATTGAGGGGTTAACATGGCTGTGTGACTCTCATGGCTGTGTGACTCTCTTAGTCAAATCCAATTTGGGAATTTGTGGACTTTCACAAGATATCATGGTTCCAGTAAAATTCAACTATTTTATGGGAGAAATCATTTTGGTGAATACATTACTTTGGTTGAGATGGGCATTAAAGGAAGAAATACTTTAGTCATTCCTGAAGGACGGAATGGAAAAGGGATTTCTCTTTTTCTATCAGGGATTAAAAGAGCAACTGCTTCGTTAAAGGAATTTGTTACCAAGCAACCAACATTTGGGCATGATTCATGGGAGGTGTTGGATTCACATATCCATGAGTTTGATTTTCTTTTAAATGGGGATAATATTCACTCTTGGGAATATGATTTTTCCATTTCAAGTGCTTTATTTCAAGTTGATATAGATCATATAACTTCTTTGGATAGGGTGATCATAGGAGCTGATGTGGAAGTCTTTGACGAGGCGATTATTGATAATTTTCGTGATGAGGAGGGAGTTATTGATACTATTCCTCTCCAGGTTTCTTTTCCAAATCAGAATAAGATCATTATTTTTTCAGAGGGTGTTTCTCAATCTAAAGATATTGATAGTATCCTTGAAACTACTTCTCTTCGAGTTTCTTATTCACCTCACTCCAAACTATTAGTGGGTGGATTAGTTTCTCCTCAGACGGCAGTTTTGGAACCTAATGCTTCGGGTGGTAACAATCTTGAAGTTACGCCTGTTCAACTGTCACTTTATGATCGTGAGCTACTTGACCGCGTTGCTGATACTGAATGGGACTCAGCCAGTTCTAGATTGCTACCTCGACGCAGTGCCCGTCTCAAGGCTAAAAAATTGGCTGAAACATAGGGCCATTTCTGCTTACTGGATTAGCTTTTGGATATTTTGGGGGCTTCATATCTTTCGGGTAACTCAGTACATCTCGACGGGGAGCTAAGCATTTTACTTTAGGGAATTGCACGGCCTTTTTGGATTATTCACTCATTTGCGTTCTTGTTTCTTTTTTCATATTTTTGTACTCTTCTTATTTACTTTTAATAAAATTCTGGTTATTCTATAAAAAAACTACACTTCAAACGTTGATAACTATACGGCGTCATAGTGCCCCTACCAATTAAGGATGGCAATGGGGGCGGAGACCCGTGGGGAACCGCCCCGTGGGAGAGGATGGGCGGGGCTTGGGACGGGGTGGGGACGAGGATGGGTGAGATATTTTTAAGCCGTTAAAATATGGGGCGGGAGACGGGAATAACTACACCTGCCCCGCCCTGTCCCCCGTTATAAATTTATACTCAAACATATATATATATATATATATATATATATATATACACATATATAAATAATGTACAAACATATTAAATTAAATTATATGTAGTATATAACAAACGCATATGCATATACATATAGACATACATAATTGTATACAGTTTAGTCATGGTTAATGAATTAATACATATTATACTAGAATAATTATAAGCTAGTAATGATTTAAAAATATTTATCATAAATGTTATATGAGTTTTAAGAGTGAGTAAATAATTAAATACACACACACATTTAAATGTAATATGTAATTAATTGTATTATAATTGTTGAGAATTTTGAAACGACGTACATGATGATAATATGATTACTTATATTTTTGCTTTAACTATCTTCGATTCACAAAACTTACTCAAATTGAAGAATTATTAAAATTGGCGGTATTAACTTTTAACAAACACAATAATTCACGGTTGCATATATGTATATATGTGTGTGTGGGGTCTGTGTGTGTATATATATATATAATATCTGCGTTGTGTGTGTGTGTGTGTGTATATATATATATATATATATATATATATATATATATATGTATAGATTTTGGTTCAAATGAGAACGAGTCTTAACGTGAGAACGTGAGAACAAATCTAAACCATCCAAATAACAAATGGTGCTGAGATGATCGAATCATTAACCAAGGGCAATCTTGTAACTTTCTGTTGTCATCTTTTGTAACCAACATTTGCACTTAATACGTGCATTTCAGTTTAGGAAAGGAACGAGTAAGTTCCAATCCTTTGAAATATTGTAGTTATTTTTCATGTTAATTCACTTCTCCATTTATAGAAATTTCTGTTTTCTTGGAAGGTAACTATTATTAGTTTATACGAAAGAAAAGGAAGGAAAATAATGTTAGTCATTCTTTTTATTTATTTATTTCTTCTTCGTATTGGTTTTGTCGTTTTCTTAATCACTAACCATTATATTTTATATTTCTCCAATGTAATTATCATTATTCATAGTATATTCATCACTATTGCATCATTCTTGTGCAAATGATTGCAAACTGTTAGTAACCTTATTTTAAAAAATAACGTCACACCTTATGTACAATCCAAATACTACTCTCACTAATATACCATTGAAATGCACGTTTACACTTGCTTTTCACTTTTTGCACAATCAATAACTATCACTTGCACATTCATGATTTGTATATGTTCAACATACTTTGCGTGTTAACATTTGCATATTTTGCTCACTCATATGCATTTGTACAATTCACTACTGCACTATTGTGTCACACAAATGCATTATTCGGGATTGTGGGTTAGATACTGATTCTTGTGCATGACATATTTGTTGTGATTTTCTCTGTCAATACTGTGCATTAGATATGAATTGTCTATCGTATATACCTATTATGATGTTGATACTAGTTCATGTGTATTATAATAATACTATCTAGGAGTATCTACTTAATAAATTATATGAAATCCTGAGGTGTTCAAGAGATATTGATAATTGTGTGTTAGATATATGTTCTTGTGCATGTGGTAGCTGTAGATGCTTGTTGTGCTTTATTGTACAAATTTTATCCATATATTATTTTTACAAATTATATAGGTAATATTGGTGTCAAATGAAAGATAATACAAAGTTATTTAATTTGGTGTAATTTTTGTTAAAATCGGATTATCATTTAAGAAGTAAAATCATTTTTTAAACTAAAGAAATTTTATAAGATTTGAGTTTTAATATGACCTACTTTTTAGGGAGATGATTATCCTCAACCGTATGGATTTATTTTTAATTACTTTAATGTCCTTCGTCTAACCTACGGTTGAGTAGAGATTCCATGATAATTTATTGAGTGTTTGCACTTCCACTATACATCGGTGTATCTACTCCTTTTTTGGCCTTTAATTTACTGAGATCTGTGGTTAAGATTTGTTCTCACAATCTCACGTTAAGGGGTGTTCTCATTAGAACCCAACCCTATATATATATATATATATATATATATATATATATTATATAGGGGAAGGTTCAAGTGAGAATGATGGCTTAGGAGAGAAATGAGAATTAATCTTGATTGTCTATGCTTGAGATCTAACGGTGAGGACATACAAGAAAGGTGCGGTGGTATGGCCGTAAATATCATCAACTATGAAATTGTTTATTAACTTGAATGGGTGAACCGTTACTAATAAGGGTGTATTAGTAAAAGACTACTAAGATGTAACTACTACACACGGACAAATGGAATTCATGCGTCGTAAGTGTGTCTAACATTTAATGTGATTGATTGAATCAATAAATGAAATTCATTTTTACTAACAATAGAAATTAAATTTAATTCAATTAGTACTTCCACGTTACTCTGTATTACAAACTGAAAAGAATAAACCTGTAAGTGCACTTTTACTTCAAACTCCATGCACCATGAGTTCAATTAAATATTTAAGGTTCTTCTTGAAATAATTAATACATCATAATTTCGATGAATATTTTTTATCCATGAAAAAAATCCGCTTGGGCACTACTTCGTATTAAATACTTATATGAGCATTTTTTATAAAAAAATATATATTCAAATTAAATTCTCCAATAATTTTTACTATCAAATTTGTAGATACAATTATTATTTTTATTTTTCATTAATTGTAATTTAAATAATAAGCACCATTCATCAACAAAATGTATAAAGAGAAGAATAAGTAATAATATTATTATATTAACCTTCACTTTAATGGCATTATTATGCACTTCTATAATATGCACTTTACTCTATGCAGTTGTGCACTTACATGTAAGTTTAAATAAAAATCAAATTAAACATAAATATGTGTAAATTCACAACTATCTTTTGCATTTTAAATACAAAGAAAAGTGAAGACACAATTTGTAAAATCATATGTTATCACTTTCTTACAAAATAAAATGCACTTTAATAATGTGCATTTTAAATATCTACGAAGTGCACAAATTAACCATACTTTCTAAAATTTATATTAGCACTTTATTACAAAATGAAATGCACTTTTTCTTCCAAATGCATCACAGTTGCTCCATTTTCATATCTCTTTTATTGCACTCCACATATGTCACTCCACATATGCTGCTATAAGGCATCATTGTCGGTGGGAAAGCGTATAGCATTTATGTCGTTTGAATGATTCATCTTGATAACTTGATGTGTCATTGTCCTCGTGAGTCAATTGCACTGCAAATATAATTGCAAAAAAGTGCTGCATATATAGCTGGAGTGCAAATTTTTAAAAACGTATAGAGCACAATAATAAAATGATAGTGCATTAATGATCCGTGTAAGTGCATTTGGGAGTGGGTTAATCTCAAAATTATGTGAGTGCAAATTTCAAAATTTTGTGCGTGCAAATCTCAAAAATTTGTATCTGATTCAAATTTAAGAATCTGATACTGCATTCAATAGTAGGTGTTAGCACATCTTGCAATTGACACTGTGCAATGTAAAAATTTTCCTTGTGCATACTACTAACATGACAGTGCAAGAAGTAATTAGTCTTTTGATGTCCCGTGTATCTACAAAAAAGTGTAAAATAAAAAAAAAATGAGAAGTGTATGAAAGGAGTATGATAAGTGCATCAAAATTTAGTAGAAAACTCATCTTATATTATCTTAGAATGAAATAGATATCTATCATGAAATTGCTCCATATTGAAGGCTAAACTGCATCAAATGATAATATAGGTGAACTGTGCACTAATTCTTAGTGCAAAGCTACAAATCTAGAAATTGTGTCGGTGCATATCCATAAATGTAAAAATTATGCAATAATAATGTGTAAAAGTACAAGATCAAACATCTAATCTTGCATCCAATTTATTCAACAGCCCTCATTTAAGTACATGTGAAATCTCAGATATAGAATAAAATCAACAATGGTGCACCAAATCAAAAAATGAAAACTTGTTTGAAAATGATGAAAATATTGGGTAACTAAAGGATTGCATGAAAATGTGCAGGAACGTGCACTAGCGGGTGACTGAAATAGCAATGCAACAACACCCAACTAGAAAAATCTCTATCAACATAAGCACAGATACAATTGTAGAGAAATTATGAGACCAGAATAGAAGAATGCAAACAAATAGTCAAAAAGCAAAATTTTCATAAGTGACTTATATTCTAAACTAGTGCATTATATACTTGATAGGGTGCATGAAAACATAGGTAAAAGTGCACTTGCGAGTGACTGAAATAGCAACGAACAATACCCAAATAACAAAAGTCTCCACCAACCAAAGCATGAATACAAACATGTAGAAATTGTGTGATCTGATATAGAAGAATACAAGCATGTATTCTGAACTCTGAACAGAAATTAATCCGTAATTGGATTCATATGCTTACCAAGAAAGATCAATTCAACAATAAAAAAATCAATACAGACTCTGAGACTCAAATAGAGAGTGTAATTAGCTATGTGGGAAAAATTGAATGGATAAATAAATTATATGAAATAAACTTACAGCCATCCATGTGGAGAACATGATATTTTTCAGAATTTTAGATTGATACATCTGAAAATACGTATAAAGTAATCTAGGGCAGTGAGATAATCGAATTGCAGGCAGAGGAGAGATGGAAGACGAAGATGAGCGAGGAAGACAAGAGACAACGAATAGGTCGCCGATGAAGATGAAGATGAGAGTCCAAGAAGCGATCAATGATGATGATGAGAGAAGGAGAAGAAATCATCGGTAAAGATGAGAGACAGAAAAGAGTTTGCCGATGAAGATGAGAGAGAAA